CGGCTGCTGCTAATGTTAGCTCTGATAGCTTCAGACCCAGACGTCTCAACACTAACAGCACAAGGATGTAAAGAAGTTAGGCTGGATAAAAAGTCAGTTTATGACACATGTATGACTGACACATGCCTAGAGGGAATACAACACCAATACATTACATATTACTAGGAAACTACACAACTCCACTTAATGTAAAATATTCCATGTTATAAGCTCTCACCTGATTGGTCCCATTCCAAACAGGAAATGACCTCAGTGTGTCCCGAGTTGATGGAGTAAACGTCCCAGGGATGCTCCGTGTCGATGATGTGGATCATGTGACTAACTTCACACACACACACACACACACACACACACACACACACACACACACACACACACACACACACACACACACACACACACACACACACACACACACACACACACACACACACACACACACACACACACACACACACACACACACACACACACACACACACACACACACACACACACACACACACACACACAGTTATGTTGTTACCAAAGTACTTGTCATCTGTAGTGTAAATTCTGTGTCTGCAGTGTGTTCAAAGGGTTCAAAGGCGTTATCACGTGCACAGTAGCTAAAGTGTAGATATGCAATGAAACTCTTAAGTCCCATGCTCCTCCAACAATGCAACATAAAGATATATAAATATATATAAGACATAAAACAATAAGCATTGTGCAAGAGAATGTTGCCAGACCAATATGAAAGTGATGCAGGAGACGTTAACTATATACAAGTAGAATAGAATAGGCTGAGCGTGAGATGTGTGTGTGTGTGTGTGTGTGTGTGTGTGTGTGTGTGTGTGTGTGTGTGTGTGTGTGTGTGTGTGTGTGTGTGTGTGTGTGTGTGTGTGTGTGTGGTGTGTGTGTGTGTGTGTGTGTGTGTGTGTGTGTGTGTGTGTGTGTGTGTGTGTGTGTGTGTGTGTGTGTGTGTGTGTGTGTGTGTGTGTGTGTGTGTGTGTGTGTACCCTTGTCCTCGTCCTCCCCCTTCATGTCCGTGCTGAAGGCCAGGAGGTTCCTGCAGCTCCAGGAGCAGACCAGAGGGATGGAGGGGCAGTGAGAGTTCTGAGGACGCTTCTCCCAGTCACACACATAGGCCAGCTCCATCTGAGGAGGAACAAGAACTCAGATCTTAAAGGTGGAAGTACTCAGATCTTGTGCTTGAGTAAAAGTAGAAGTACTCAGATCTTGTGCTTGAGTAAAAGTAGAAGTACTCAGATCTTGTACTTCAGTAAAAGTAGAAGTACTCAGACCTTGTGCTTGAGTAAAAGTAGAAGTACTCAGACCTTGTGCTTGAGTAAAAGTAGAAGTACTCAGATCTTATACTTGAGTAAAAGTAGAAGTACTCAGATCTTGTACTTGAGTAAAAGTAGAAGTACTCAGATCTTGTACTTGAGTAAAAGTAGAAATACTCAGACCTTGTACTTGAGTAAAAGTAGAAGTACTCAGATCTTGTACTTGAGTAAAAGTACTCAGATCTTGTACTTGAGTAAAAGTAGAAGTACTCAGACCTTGTACTTGAGTAAAAGTAGAAGTACTCAGATCTTATACTTGAGTAAAAGTAGAAGTACTCAGATCTTATACTTGAGTAAAAGTAGAAGTACTCAGATCTTATACTTGAGTAAAAGTAGAAGTACTCAGACCTTGTTCTTGAGTAAAAGTAGAAGTACTCAGATCTTGTACTTGAGTAAAAGTAGAAGTACTCAGATCTTGTACTTTAGTAAAAGTAGAAGTACCCAGATCTTGTACTTGAGTAAAAGTAGAAGTACTCATATCTTATACTTGAGTAAAAGTAGAAGTACTCAGATATTATACTTGAGTAAAAGTAGAAGTACTCAGACCTTGTTCTTGAGTAAAAGTAGAAGTACTCAGATATTGTACTTGAGTAAAAGTAGAAGTACCCAGATCTTGTACTTGAGTAAAAGTAGAAGTACTCATATCTTATACTTGAGTAAAAGTAGAAGTACTCAGATATTATACTTGAGTAAAAGTAGAAGTACCCAGATCTTGTACTTGAGTAAAAGTAGAAGTACTCAGATCTTGTACTTTAGTAAAAGTAGAAGTACCCAGATCTTGTACTTGAGTAAAAGTAGAAGTACTCATATCTTATACTTGAGTAAAAGTAGAAGTACTCAGATATTATACTTGAGTAAAAGTAGAAGTACTCAGACCTTGTTCTTGAGTAAAAGTAGAAGTACTCAGATCTTGTACTTGAGTAAAAGTAGAAGTACCCAGATCTTGTACTGGAGTAAAAGTAGAAGTACCAGAGTGTAGGAATACTCTGTTTCAGTAAAAGTCCTGCATTCAAAATGTTCCTCAAGTAAAAGTAGAAAAGTATTCTCATCAAAATATAGTGAAAGTACCAAAAGTAAAAATAAAAGTAACAAAGTACATTTACTCAAATACTGTACTTAAGAAGAATTCTGAGGTACTTGTACTTTACTTGAGTATTTCAATGTTATGCTACTCTGTACTTATATATTCAAGATTCAAGGATGTTATTGTCATGTGTACATAGCTACAGTGTAGATATGACAACAGTGCAACACAATAACACAGATAAAATAGTGCAAGTAAATAATACTACACCTACTCTACTCCTCTACAGTTCAGAGGTAAATGGTGTACTTTTACTCCACTACATGTATTTAATACCTTTAGTTACTTCACAGATGTGGATGAATGATGTGAAATATAATCAAGTGTTAAATCAGACTTTAGTTCCACCTGGAGTAAATCCACAAGCTACCCTGCAGTATACAAAGTCATTCAAACTAGCTGCACCTTTACCAGCTTTGAGAACACTTTCATGATCAATCATTATAAAACATATCATATATATTATTCTGAAATGGACCAATCTGCACAATGAATACTTTTACTGTCGCTACTTTCACTATATTTTGATGCTAACGTTAGCTCACCTCAGTTTATCTCAGCTCCAGAGTCTCAGATGAAGTTATAATAAATCCGCTGTCCTCACAAAGAAGCCCTTTAAATAAATATATATAATACATATAAATCAGTTCTCGTAATTCATCAGATTATATTAAATAAATCATTAAAAATCGGATTTCTGTTTAACAAACAAACCGTTTACTCCACAACGTCTGAGGACCCCGCCGCTCACAGAGCTGTCTCCACAAATGCCTGTCTGTAAAACATTATAATGAACTGTAATAAAATACCATGGGATTATTTTAATCCCGTGTTGGACCTGTTGTTAATATTTTATGTTATTTTAATGATCTGTTGAGTAATTTTCTCTCCCCATTAGATTAAAGTCTCTGTGTTTTAAACATGGCGCGGACAGGACAGCCTGAAATACTCGCTGTGTTTCCCTCAGCGCAGTCTTACAGGCTTCGCAGAAAAATACTCATCAGATTCATATAATAGGAAAGTTTATTGCTGCCATACAATCCAAGCCAGAATCTTGTAATGCAAAAAATAAGATGGACCTTTATTTATCCCCGTGGGGAAATAAGGAGTTAAAGCAGCAACAGAGAGTGAAAAATAGGAAAGTACACAAGGTAAACAATAATAATAATAATAATAATTCATTACATTTATTTAGCGCTTTTCCAAATGCTCAAAGCGCTTTACATCACATATATTACATATATTAGACATGTTACAATGAATACAGTGGATACCAAAATATTATATAGTAACTGTTAAGATACATATTTGGGTTGGGATCATTCCATACTTCAAAGTCAAAGTCAACTTTATTGTCAATATTTCAGTTTGTGTGTACAGACAGAGAGATCGAAATACCGTTTCCCACAATCCAGAATACAAAATACAATTATATAAATATATGCATATACCGGTCCTATACAAACATCAACACACACATTTATACATATTCACACATTAAAGACATAAATAAAACCACAACAATCAATACAAACAAAATAACAGTCACTTCAATATCTGTGAAAAATGTATTTACATGTAAGTGTGCAGATGTGAGTGCAGGTCTTTGTGCAAACAGTGCAGGGTTTCTGTATGTACAGTACTGGTTACTGTTAATGGGTTACAGGGTTAACCCCTGGTTGTGCAGCCCTCCATCCACCCTCATCTTCACTAGATCTGCATGGGGGGGGGGGGGGAGGATACAGTCCAGCTTCCTTCTCGTCCTCCCCTCCGCCACCTTCTCCAGATTGACAAGTATGACAATACATTCGCCTGAAAATCCTCAAGGCTTAACACAAACACTCATGTTAGCAAACAAGTGTTCAATGTAATTAATCACATCCATATATAGTCTATGATCACATCACAGATAGTGCCACTGTTTTACCTGTTACATTAATGTTTTACTGAATATAAAGGTTGTTCCTCTACTGCCTCACTTAGAAAAGTAACTGGGATGTCCTTTTGTGAAAATATTGTAAATAATGATTTTAAATCTTAACCAACTCAACCCGATCTACTATGCGTGCTATAGGAACAACTAAAAGACATTGGATACACTGTGTATTCCTTTGTCGTTGTATTATGTATTATACATATATTTAACTTTTATTTCAGTATAGTAGCTGTGATGCACCTTGCAGTCAGTACTCGGGGGTAAGGCGCCCTGGCTGCTGCCTCTGTCCGTACCAAAACTGCAGTGAAAATACAATATATTAATAAAATGTAAGAAAACTCACGTCCTGATCATAACAACAAAACATACTTTAATTTCCACGATTAAAACCCTTAAAATATTTGCTTATATATAATTCAACAATACTTTGAAGCACAGGCTCTAGGTGTAAAGGGGATATAATAGACTGCAGGAGTTTGTCAAAGTGTGCTCTCAATGGGTAATGTTTATCTGTATGTATGAGACACATGTCATTGTTTTATTATTTGTATATATTATTATTTTTTGATTTTTATAATAAACTGAAAAAGCACCTGGCAGTCATTACTCGGGTAGAACGCGCCCTCGCGCAGGATCTGTATTTCCGGTCTGGTTGTTGTCCCGTCAGTCTCCAGTTAGCTTCGTTAGCTCTGTTAGCTTCGTTAGCTTACACTGTAACCGCCTCAAGTCTTACAAATTAAACTAATAAACTACAATGACTCCACACAGAGTCCGGGAGATGTTAACTGCGAGCTAACGCCGCGGCTCTTTATCAGTTAAACTAGTGTTAGCTGCTAGGTTAGCTTCTTTAGCGTTATCTTCCTGTGTAACGTTAGCTAACGGAGCTAACAAGCTAACCGGTTAGCATCTGCGTTTCTCTGTTTGATGAAAACGGAGAGCAGCCGTTAGCATGGATTAACTCAACAGACACAACAACAACAACACCAGGTAATAATGTTAGTTTATTTACACACAACAACAGGCAACTCAATAACTGGTTATAATGCTAGCATCCACATAGAGACACATATAGGTAATACGGTTAGCATACACAGTCAAAAACAGTTAATAAGGTAAGCATTCAAACACACACAATAACAGGTCATAATGTCGAGTAATGTAAGCAGTCAATACAAGGGAAAATGTTAGCATACACACAGAGAATAACAGCGTATAATGTTAGCATCCACATAGAGACAATTCTAGGTAATACGGTTAGCATACACAGTCAGAAACAGGTAGTAATGTTATCTTTCAAACACAGAAAATAATATGTAACATGTTAACATTCACAGAGGCAATAACAGGTAATAATGTTAGTATAATACACAATAACAGGTAATAATGTTAGCATACACAGAGAGACAATTATAGGTAATACGGTTAGCATACACAGTCAAAACAGGTAGTAATGTTAGCCTTCAAACACAGAAAATAACATGGAAAATGTTACCATTCACAGAGGCAATAACAGGTTATACATTTAGCACTCGCACATAATAACAGGCTATAATGTGGGCATCATACACAATAACAGGTAATAATGTTAGCATCCATATAGAGACAATTATAGGTCATACGTTTAGTATTTACAGTCAAAAACAGGTAGTAACGTTAGCTTTCAAACACAGAAAATAACCTGTAACATTTTAGCATTCACAGAGGCAATAACAGGTAATAATGTTAGCATTCACACATATTAACAGGTAATAATGTCAGTCCATACATAGAGACTATAACTGGTTATATTGTTGGCATCCACACAGTCAAAAACAGGTTCTAATGTTAGCATTTACTCACACATTGGTAGGTAATAAAGCTAGCATCATACACAATTACAGGTAATACTGTTACCATCATACACAATTACAGGTAATTCTGTTACCATCATACACAATAACAAGTAATAAAGCTAGCATCATACGCAATTACAGGTAATACAGTTAGCATCACACACATTAACAGGTGATAAAGCTAGCAAGACACTTCACCTGATCCTGTGGGTATTGCCAGACAGTACAGTACATGACCATCACATGTATGTATGATATGTATGTGTAATGTGTATCTGTAAAGCGCTTTGAGTCATTGAAAAGCGCTATCATAAATATAAGGAATTATTATTGTTATTATTATACACAATAACAGGTAATACAGTTAGCATCACACACAATAACAGGTGATACTGGTAGCATTCTCACCCTCATGTGTTACTTTACAATGTCTATCAAAGCAGGTTTCTGTTTCAGAAGATAAATATCTGAAATGTTTAATAATATATCAACGCTTGTTTTGGTCGTTTTTAGTGTCTGTGGAGAGGTTGAGTCCACTGGCTCTCATCGGGCTGTGACTCCATCAGCTGATCTGAGGTCAGAGTTTGACCTTCACTCTGAGGACTCCTGCCAGCCGCAATGCTCACCTAGACCCAGGTGTTAGTTTTTGCAGTGTGAGCAGAATCATTCAGAGACAGAGATCATGTCTGACAACCAGGCCAACAACAACGTCCCCCTAAACAACAACAATAACAACAACATGGGGCCCAACAGGATCCGCAACCCCAACATCAACCAGAACCCCCTCATCAACGTCCGGGACCGCCTCTTCCACGCCCTTTTCTTCAAGATGGCCGTCACGTACGCCCGGCTGTTCCCTCCGTCCTTCAGGAGAGTCTTCGAGTTCTTCGTCCTTCTCAAGGTGAGAAACCAATAAATATATAAGCTTGTGCTGTCAGTTGATTAAAACATTTAATCACAATAAAGCCCTTCAATAGTGTTTTATTGTGAGAGTTTATAGATTTTTTTTATCTTCACGGCCTATTGTATATTCTCACTTTTTAATGTTGCTTTAATTCTATTTTGAGATGTTTCAATTCTAGTATTGTTTATTTCTAATCTTTAATTTCTACTTATGAGCAATGCCTTCTTCTGTTTTGTGGTTTTTTATGCCGCTGCAACGCAAACATTTCCCAAATTGGGATTAATAAACGACTTATCTTAAAGGGGACCTATCATGCAAAATGCACTTTTTGATGTCTTTTATACATCAACATGTGTTCCCCGGGTGTCAGGGAACTCACGCAGCGTCAGAAAATAAAACCCTCTCTCTTCTCCTCCGTACCCAAATCTCTAAAAACGGGGGAACAACGGAGCTGATCCAGATTTGTGTCCGATATGACGTCATATCGGAAATGTAGGCTGGCTTTACACCCACGGCCCTATCAGAGACGTTGCTATCAGAAACAATTAGGGTTGCAAAATTCCGGGAATTTTCAAAGATGGAAACTTTCCATGGGAATAAACTGGGAATTTTCTGAATTGAAGGTTGGCTCTTCATAGGGAACTTAAATATAGTTGTGGAAAGTATATTTCCGATGCCATTCAAGTACACTTGAATATTCATGCCATAGCACACTGCTTACTGCATGGCTATTGAGACCACACCCCCTACAGGCACTGTGCATTCCTCCATCACATGCACAGATGATTTCTAGAAGACTGGATCACACTTTTGAGCCCAAAGCACAAGACAAATAAAGCCACACATTTGAGCCTGTGAACTACACAAAGTGAAGTAAGTTTTGATGATATTATGGGGTAATATATGTATTTAATTTTTAAATTGCAAATATCACATGTATCTAGTACAGTGTTTCTCAAACTTTTTCATACCAAGGACCACTTAACCAATAAAAAAAACGCTCGTGGACCACCTAACTCCCCAAATATCCAAAAACACATCGTTTTTCTAGAACAGATTACAAATCGCCTGAAAATGGCGATACAATGGAAAATACAAGTGGCAACATGTGTGACGAAGGTGTTGCGCTGGGCTATATCATGCAATCGAAAGTGAAACTTAAAGGTAGGGTAGGTAAGTTTGAGAAACCGGCTGGAGATACACTTTTTGTTATATTCCATGGAATGCTCTTAACATCCCGATAGCAATGAATATCTGAAGTGCTTTGACAAAAAATCCATAAAGAAATATCATCTGTGGAAGCTGTAGTACTGTGAAAAGCACGACCAATCATCTGAGCCGGCCCGGCTAAAATAACTGGATGGCCTACCTGCCTGTCAGCCTTCCATCTGTGCACAAACTTATCTCGTGCCCTCATTGGTCATGTGCGCGTTTGTGTGTGTTGGAGGAGGGGCTCTGTGAGGAAGTGGCAGATTTTCTCCGGTTGTGTATTTTCAAATTCTTGCGATCTCGAGCCGGTTTCTCAAACTTACCTACCCTACCTTTAAGCTCGCTCGCGGAGATATTCCCGCGAGTGTGCGGAAAACTTAAATAAATAAATGTATTTCAAATATGGAGTATTTCCAAAATTCCCCAGCTTAACTTCCCATGGAAATTTACCAGAAACTTTCCGGAAATTTACCGGTAAATTTCCATGGGAAGTTAAGCTGGGAAATGTTCCGCCCCTTTGCAACCCTAGAAACAATGCCCGACTGTTTTGGACGTAATATGGTCGGTGTTTACATTAGCATTGCTAACACTCAGAGCTAACCTGTACTGGAGAGCATGTGTGTGAAGAAGCAGGAAATAAAAAGGAACTCACCTTGTGGTATAACCGGCAAGAGAGAAAGCCTTTGAGCTCCATACTGTTTCAGAGAGAATCCTTGATAATCCATGATATGGTGTTTCATCACGGCAGTATTTAGTTTAGACAGTAGCTGCCGGGTCCCGCATGAGCTCAGACCCCTCCTTTTTAAAGCTTTATACCCCAAATCAGCACTTTAGAAACAGGAAGTGAAATAGAGGGATATGAGGCATGGCTAGAATGGGTGATCTGTTTGGTATTTGGAGCAAAACACTTCATAGACATGTTTTTTATATATTGTTATATATCTGAGACCTATGCTATTGCCTAAAAATAGCATGATAGATGCACTTTAATAATATGTTTAAAATACTATTATTTACTTGGATTATGGCTGGAGATTTAAACAAATACACATGTGGTGTTTCAATAAAGAAAGGCATGGCGAACTGCAAAGAGAAATCAGAGGGGTTTAACTTTATTTAACACGTTTTCTGAATGATTGGCATAAAGTCTGACGATTCTCCGACTCTTAGCAAAAGCATCGACAACGCCGCTGTGATTCCCCTCTGTTTAATGTGTGCTACACTACACATAATAATAATACATTTAATTTCTAAGCGCTTTTTCAGGTGCTCAAAGACACTTTACAGTCGATTAAAAAGGAAATAAAATATAAAAACACACCATTATTCACGCATTAAAAGCCAGTCTGAAGAGGTGTGTTTTGAAGGTGGGGAGGTCAATGCAGTCTCTGATGTTTTGTGGTAAGGTCACACTGTGACCCCCCTCTGTATAATGTAGATACACTCGTATGGTAGTACTCATACTGTGACCCCCCTCTGTATAATGTAGATATACTCGTATGGTAGTACTCACACTGTGACCCCCCTCTGTATAATGTAGATACACTCGTATGGTAGTACTCACACTGTGACCCCCCTCTGTATAATGTAGATATACTCGTATGGTAGTACTCATACTGTGACCCCCCTCTGTATAATGTAGATACACTCGTATGGTAGTACTCGCACTGTGACCCCCCTCTGTATAATGTAGATACACTCGTATGGTAGTACTCACACTGTGACCCCCCTCTGTATAATGTAGATACACTCGTATGGTAGTACTCACACTGTGACCCCCCTCTGTATAATGTAGATACACTCGTATGGTAGTACTCATACTGTGACCCCCCTCTGTATAACGTGACCCGTTTCAAGTTACAATTATATAATAACTACCCTCTAGGTTTTTTTTATTGGAATTATAGTTAATAATATGAAGTTGTAAAAATGTTTTGGGGGGGGGGTTGTATTCTAATATTAGTCTATTACAGTCAGATAACATAATTATCCACTGTCTTCACTATAGGGAATATAATGAGTGAATTTAATCCCATTTTCTACTTAAGAATATGTGTTATGGTGCCGTAAATAATACAATGACAACAGGATTGTGAGGTTGTGAATGCATAATAATTTAGTGATGACGTAGTTAAAACAATATTGGATGATATTTATTATTTTGGAGTGTTTTGGACTGAGATAAATCATGAGAACACCATGAACGTAGAGAGCTTTTAACACAAGGGTTAAGAGGGAGTGCAGAACATTGGATCATGTTTGCCGTTACAGCGAGGTTGTGATGGTTCTCACTGACGTCCAGTGGTGTCCAGTCAGTGACTACATGTACATCGTGTAAATAAAACTGTATTTAAGTAATAATAAGATAAGGTGGAGCTTTATTAATCCCCGTGAGGAAATTCAGTAGTTCAAACAGCAACAGGGTGAGAATGAAAAACAGGACGGCACAGATTCACTCAAGATTAAAGATGAATAAATGATATACATTTAAGTAACTTTTAAAATAAGAAACAAATGAAAAATGAACATACATACATATTTGGGTCATATATACATATTAAATATATTTACATGTATGTGTGACGGTAAAAAGTTATTGTGTAAACAGTGTATATTTTATTTACAGTACTTATGTTGTTATAATAACGATCAATAGAGAGGTGCAGTGACGAGTCCTAAAACCCGGAAGTGAGTCAGCATTTTATCACTTCCTGTTCCCTGGTCTCAGAGCCAATGGGATCTCTCCATAGGGTTTAGGAAACTATCTGTAAATAAGGTCTGTGGTTGAGACACATTGAAGAGACGGATCACGTTTTGTTCTAGGACATTAAATCCATCAGCAGTGACCCCACTGGTGATTTCTGAAGAGTTGACGTGTCTGAAAAACGATGGTTGTTACCAAGTGGCTGAATAGGACTACAGAAGTTGTGGAGGACGTTGTACGTCATTACGCCGAACACGTAAACACTCCTCTAAGTTAGTTTGCCCTGTTCTGCTTGAAAGCAAGTACCTGCCTCCTGCTAACTGTTCAAACAAACGCTTCAACTCGTTCCATTTAGAATCTGTGTGTTTGAATATGGATCTGAAGTTGGCGTGACGTTGAAGTCGTGCTGCTGGACTCGCCTGTAGTTCCTTTATAGCATAACGTTAGCATTTTGCTTCTGGACATTAGAGTTATGATTAGAACATTATAAAAGTAGACATGTGGAGATTATCCGGCTGAACAAACGGGTTCGTTTTGCACAGATCTTATTTTTTACAATATTCCAAAATCCTCTGGAGAAATCCCGTTGCTTTTTTGTCGAGGGAACCAGCAGCTTCCTTCAGGGTCGGCCTACAAACATAAGTCATCCCTGCACCGCTATATAAAGCTTCAGCTGACTCTTATGGCGCGTTTCCACTACAGCGCGGAGCCCCGTTTAAGAGGGCTGTGACGTCAGCGGCCCGTCTTTGGTTGCGTTTCCACTTGGCCTAGTACCGGCCGGCGGGTCCTAATTCACAGTTTTTCTGGCCTCATAAAATCGTGGGTCTAGGGCCAGAGACAACGAGGCTGAGTCGGGCTGAGTATGCTAAACTAGAGAGAGCATCGCTGGCAAGAGGGCTACAACTACAACAAGATGGACATATTTGACCGTGATTTAATTGTAATACACGTTTCAAAATGATGCCGAAGTAACAACATACTGATACCGGTTAGTAAAAACCATGAATTAATGCTTTGACAAGTCTGCAGACAGACGGCAGGCGAAACACCTTTTAAAATGCGTGTTTTCTAAATGGAGATTGGCTAAGCTAACGCAGTATATGCTCCGACCGTCCACACTCACAACAACGGCCTATACAGACATAAATAAAGCAGCGACTGTATTCTCCATGACACAGACAGTCTGTGGTTTGTACTTGTTTAACTTGTGTCTAGTTTCTGAACAGATATGAGGAGCTGTGAGCTCTGAGTGCTAACAGCTAACGGCTGTGTTGTTTTTCTGGGGTTCTCATTGAAGATGACGTCACGGCTCCGCCTACACTGCGTTACTATAGATACTGCCCCAGTTCCTAAACTGTAATGGAAATGCGCCATAAAGTGAGCCAGTCCTAACGAGGCCTAGCCATACCGAGCGGGGCCGTGCGAGGCCGTGTAGTGGAAATGCGCCATTACTGGCTCCTGCTGGCTCCTGCTGGCTCCTGCTGGCTCCTGCTGGCTCCTGCTGGCTCCTGCTGGCTCCTGCTGGCTCCTGCTGGCTCCTGCTGGCTCCTGCTGGCTCCTGCTGGCTCCTGCTGGCTCCTGCTGGCTCCTGCTGGCTCCTGCTGGCTCCTGCTGGCTCCTGCTGGCTCCTGCTGGCTCCTGCTGGCTCCTGCTGGCTCCTGCTGGCTCCTGCTGTGCTTTAGAAAAAGTCCACTGCCTCTCTCTTTATGTAATGTATATAAAGATGATATGTAACATGAGGTGAGTTCTCTGTGTGGAGAACAGCAGCAGCTCATTGTCCCCGTCATCAAGCAGGTGTGTAATCTGAATCAGGGATGAGGATTAAAACGAGCGGGTTTATGGTGTTTGTTGCTCCTTCAGATTAAGAGCAGGCTTTTCTCTGCAAACACTGAGTAATGAAATGAAACCATGGAAGAACTGGATACAGCGTGGGAGGCGGGGTCTCGTTCTTTCCTATGAGAGCTGCTCATTGGCTCATGAAGGCAAAATGGCCCAACTTTTGAGAGAGCGAAACGTCACAGATTACCCAGCATGCCTGACTGTCAGAGCAGAAGAACCCGTATGTGCGCTCACAACTTTAAGGACTGAATGATTCTAATAAGGGCTATAACATAGTTCATCCTGGGAAGTTTATTTAGTTAAAAAATGTATCCTCTGATTTACAGACATCTCTTTCCCAATGTTAGTCAATGGGGAAAAGTCTTTCTGGGCCGGGTGACGCCACGGACTGATACGGAAGCTGTAGTCTGGCGCGCTTCCTGGGGGCTTGAATGAAACAGCATTAACTCCCCTCTCCTCTTCCTCCTCATCCTCCTCCTCCTCCTCCTCCTCATTCTTTATCTGATGTACCATATTCCAATTACTTGTATATAGACTCTCCTTGCACTATGTCTATTTTATTTGTATTTACTTGCACTATTTTATCTGTTTTATTGTGTTGCTCTGTTGGAGGAGCCTAAGATTTTCATTGATATATCTACACTGATCGTGAATTTGCATTATCCTCCTTTTAATTCAAAATGTCATCGTTGTACCTTTAATCTAAATGTATTTTTAATGTCTACTACTTTAATGCTATTTTCTGTTTCTTTGTAACTGGTAACTGTATGCTGCTGTGTGATATCAATTCTCTGTGATATGTCCTAGAAAGTCAAGGTAAACTTAACTAATGTGCAATTAAAAAAGAGGAATAGTTTAGACGAAGACTAAACGGTACCGTGGGGTCAGATTAGAATTTTCCAAAGGGGGGTTGGTTTAGCGTGAAACACTTGAAATAACTAAAGGACAAGTTAAGAGAGAAAGTAGAAAGAAAGGGAGGTCAAAGAAAACTATCTCTGCCATTGTATATCTTTGCTTTTAAATTTGTGTTTTTAAATGCTATTTTATAATATGTGTCTTAATAATAATAATAAATGTTATTTAAAGGGTACCTATCATGCAAAATGCACTTTCTGATGTCTTCTCTTCATCACCATGTGACCCCGGTGTGTCAGGGAACTCACGCAGCGTCAGAAAATAAACCCCTCTCTCTTTTCCTCCGTACCCAAATCTCTAAAAACGGGGAACAACGGAGCTGATCCAGATTTGCGTCCGATATGACGTAATATCTGAAATGTGGACCCACGGCCCTATCAGAAACGTTGCTATCAGAAACAATGCCCGTCTGTTTTGGACGTAATATGGTCGGTGTTTACATTAGCATCGCTAACACTCAGAGCTAACCTGTACTGGAGAGCATGTGTGTGAAGAAGCAGGAAATAAAAAGGAACTCACCTTGTGGTATAACCGGCAAGAGAGAAAGCCTTTGAGCTCCATACTGTTTCAGAGAGAATCCTTGATAATCCATGATATGGCGTTTCATCACGGCAGTATTTAGTTTAGACAGTAGCTGCCGGGTCCCGCATGAGCTCAGACCCCTCCTCTTTAAAGCTTTATACCCCAAATCAGCACTTTAGAAACAGGAAGTGAAATAGAGGGATATGAGGCATGGCTAGAATGATCTGTTTGGTATTTTGAGCAAAACACTTCATAGACATGTTTTTTATATATATCTGAGACCAATGCTATAGCCTAAACATAGCATGATAGGTGACCTTTAAAGGCGCCTTTCATGACACCCAAGGACACCGTACAAATTGTTAAATATGCTAAGAGGTAAAAGCAATACGTTAAAAACACAAAGATACCAACATGGAGAAGACAATTAAAGTGGAAACAACTGATAGGGACAGGTTCTTCAGCGGAGACAGAGGATCATTCATGTCTTTGAATTGCCTTGTTGAAAGGGGCTGTATAAATAAACTTGCCTTACAAAGACAGATTAATATTGATGATTACACTGCACTGTAGCTATGTACAAATGACCTTGCATTTTGAATCTCTCCTCTTCAGGCGCTCTTCGTCCTCTTCATCCTCGCCTACATCCACATCGCCTTCTCTCGTTCGCCCATTAACTGCCTGGAGGCGGTGAGGGAGCGCTGGCCTCGTGACGGCCTGCTGCGGGTTGAGATCCAGAGGAACTCCTCGCGCGCTCCGGTTCTCCTGCAGTACCACGACTCCTCTAGTGGGCTGCAGGAGGAGCAGGGGGGGGAGGAGCTGAGCCTGGCAGAGCTAATGGGGGAGGAAGAGGAGGAAGAGGAGGAGATGACCCTGGAGATGTTCGACAACAGCTCCGTGCAGGTGAGGAGAAACAACAAGGACTCCTACTGACTCCTACTGACTCCTGCTGACTCCTGCTGACTCCTGCGGACTCCTACTGACTCCTGCTGACTCCTACTGACTCCTGCTGACTCCTACTGACTCCTGCTAACTCCTGCTGACTCCAGCTGACTCCTGCTGACTCCAGCTGACTCCTGCTGACTCCTGCTGACTCCTGCTGACTCCTGCTGACTCCTGCTGACTCCTGCTGACTCCTACTGACTCCTGCTGACTCCTACTGACTCCTGCTGACTCCTCCTGACTCCTACTGACTCCTACTGACTCCTGCTGACTCCTGCTGACTCCAGCTGACTCCTGCTGACTCCTACTGACTCCTGCTGACTCCTGCTGACTCCTGCTGACTCCTGCTGACTCCAGCTGACTCCAGCTGACTCCTACTGACTCCTGCTGACTCCTACTGACTCCTACTGACTCCAACTGACTCCAACTGACTGCAGCTGACTCCAACTGACTCCTGCTGACTCCTACTGACTCCTGTTGACTCCTGCTGACTCCTGTTGACCTTTACCAACTCTTACCTAAAAACATACATACATAAAAAGTGACCATATAAAATCTGAGCGCTACTGCTTATAATAACGTTGTTCTCTTCTCCCTATTCGTCACCATGACCCGTTATTGATCTCGGCCCGGTTCTTGGTTCCAAATACAAACCAGTTTTATTATCCGGCTGCAGTGGAAACAGGAACAACTGTCTCTTACTGACCTACTCTAATGACTCTTGTTGTGATCACTTCCTCTGCAGTTCGATCTGGACATGGAGCCTCGCCTGAAGCCCTCTATGATTGGAGGAGGAGTGAGAGGAAGAAGAGGAGGAGTGAACGACAGTCAGGACGTCTCTTTCAGTCAGACCACTAAAGGTATGCAGCCGCTGCAGGAGGTGTCTGAGCTGGAGATGTTGACCAGAGCAGGTAAACCCTCCTCCCCCTCTCCTCTTCATCCTCCTCTTCATCTTCCTCCTCTTCCTCACACTCTCCTCCTCCTCCTCCTCCCCCTACTACTGGACAGAATCACCTCCAGACTTTTCTTTAGTTGTTTCCTATGGAGGTTGATCCGTCTCAATATTCAAAGTCAAAGTCAACTTCATTGTCAATCTTTTCAGTTTGTGTGTACAGACGGAGAGATCGAAATATATATATAATAATATATCATTTCCCACGATCCCAAATATAAAGATATGTATATCCTATATATACACAATCAATAATACACATGTATACATATGCACACATTAAGACATGAATAAAAGCACAACAATCAATATGTACAAAATAACAGTAACTTCAATATCTTTGAGAAATGTACATTAGTGATATTATTTAAGTGAACAGATTAATAACCCCCCCAACAGCCGGGTGACACGAGTAGATTTTCCTTCGGTACCGGCGAAATGTCTCGGTGTTTAAAAGCAGATCCATGAACACAGATTTCAGATCAATTAACATAGAATTCAGACCAATAAACACAGATTTCAGATCAATTAACACAGAATTCAGATCAATAAACACAGATTTCAGATCAATTAACACAGAATTCAGATCAATAAACACAGATTTCAGATCAATTAACACAACATTCAGATCAATTAACACAACATTCAGATCAATAAACACAACATTCAGATCAATAAACACAACATTCAGATCAATTAACACAAAATTCAGATCAATAAACACAGAATTCAGATCAATAAACACAGATTTCAGATCAATTAACACAGAATTCAGATCAATAAACACAGATTTCAGATCAATAAACACAACATTCAGATCAATAAACACAACATTCAGATCAATAAACACAACATTCAGATCAATTAACACAACATTCAGATCAATTAACACAACATTCAGATCAATTAACACAGATTTCAGATCAATTAACACAACATTCAGATCAATAAACACAACATTCAGATCAATAAACTTGATTAACAAATGTCTGGAGAGTTGTAAATGTTAGGATATCCACACATGCTTTTTGGTTATTAGTAAATCAATTATAGTATTCACAGATTACACATGTACACACATATTATTGATCTGTTCACACACATATTATTGATCTGTTCACACACAGACTATTGATCTGTTCACACACATATTATTGATCTGTTCACACACAGACTATTGATCTGTTCACACACATATTATTGAGACAGATCCACCTCCATAGTTTTCCATCAGTTGTTTGTAAAGAGGGGTTTCTCCTCCTCGGCAGCAGGGGGCAGCAGAGGCTCTTTAACAACAATAATAATACATTTCATTTAAAAAGCACACTTTAAAAACAACCTCAAGCTTCACAATGCTATGAGGAGAAAATAAAGTTATCTAAGGAGCATATTGAATAAAATATGGTAATATAAAAAAGGGCAGTTGTAGTTAGAACAGACAGCCTCGGGACATTTAAAACAAACATGGGGGTTTATAAAAAACACGTTGAGGATTATGATAAGTGGAGCTAATAATAATAAATATTCTGTTGTGTTTCAGTTTGGCCTCAGGAGGAATACATCGTGGAATATTCTCTGGAGTACGGCTTCCTGCGTCTGTCGCAGAGCACGAGACAGAGACTCAATATCCCCGTCATGGTGGTCACTCTGGGTGAGGGACTCTTTAAAGTAGAGACACTACATACTGATATACACCTGAACATCAGCAGGAGAGGACTCTTTAAAGTAGAGACACTACATACTGATATACACCTGAACATCAGCAGGAGAGGACTCTTTAAAGTAGAGACACTACATACTGATATACACCTGAACATCAGCAGGAGAGGACTCTTTAAAGTAGAGACACTAGATACTGATATACACCTGAACATCAGCAGGAGAGGACTCTTTAAAGTGGAGACACTACATACTGATATACACCTGAACATCAGCAGGAGAGGACTCTTTAAAGTAGAGACACTACATACTGATATACACCTGAACATCAGCAGGAGAGGACTCTTTAAAGTAGAGACACTAGATACTGATATACACCTGAACATCAGCAGGAGAGAACTCTTTAAAGTAGAGACACTACATACTGATATACACCTGAACATCAGCAGGAGAGGACTCTTTAAAGTAGAGATACTACATACTGATATACACCTGAACATCAGCAGGAAAGGACTCTTTAAAGTAGAGATACTACATACTGATATACACCTGAACATGAGCAGGAGAGGACTCTTTAAAGTAGAGATACTACATACTGATATACACCTGAACATCAGCAGGAGAGGACTCTTTAAAGTAGAGATACTACATACTGATATACACCTGAACATCAGCAGGAGAGGACTCTTTAAAGTAGAGACACTACATACTGATATACACCTGAACATCAGCAGGAGAGGACTCTTTAAAGTAGAGACACTACATACTGATATACACCTGAACATGAGCAGGAGAGGACTCTTTAAAGTAGAGATACTACATACTGATATACACCTGAACATCAGCAGGAGAGGACTCTTTAAAGTAGAGATACTACATACTGATATACACCTGAACATCAGCAGGAGAGGACTCTTTAAAGTAGAGACACGACATACTGATATACACCTGAACATCAGCAGGAGAGGACTCTTTAAAGTAGAGACACTACATACTGATATACACCTGAACATCAGCAGGAGAGGACTCTTTAAAGTGGAGACACTACATACTGATATACACCTGAACATCAGCAGGAGAGGACTCTTTAAAGTAGAGACACTACATACTGATATACACCTGAACATCAGCAGGAGAGGACTCTTTAAAGTAGAGACACTAGATACTGATATACACCTGAACATCAGCAGGAGAGAACTCTTTAAAGTAGAGACACTACATACTGATATATACCTGAACATCAGCAGGAGAGGACTCTTTAAAGTAGAGATACTACATACTGATATACACCTGAACATCAGCAGGAAAGGACTCTTTAAAGTAGAGACACTACATACTGATATACACCTGAACATCAGCAGGAGAGGACTCTTTAAAGTAGAGATACTACATACTGATTTACACCTGAACATCAGCAGGAAAGGACTCTTTAAAGTAGAGATACTACATACTGATATACACCTGAACATGAGCAGGAGAGGACTCTTTAAAGTAGAGACACTACATACTGATATACACCTGAACATCAGCAGGAGAGGACTCTTTAAAGTAGAGATACTACATACTGATATACACCTGAACATCAGCAGGAGAGGACTCTTTAAAGTAGAGACACTACATACTGATATACACCTGAACATCAGCAGGAGAGGACTCTTTAAAGTAGAGACACTACATACTGATATACACCTGAACATGAGCAGGAGAGGACTCTTTAAAGTAGAGATACTACATACTGATATACACCTGAACATCAGCAGGAGAGGACTCTTTAAAGTAGAGATACTACATACTGATATACACCTGAACATCAGCAGGAGAGGACTCTTTAAAGTAGAGACACGACATACTGATATACACCTGAACATCAGCAGGAGAGGACTCTTTAAAGTAGAGACACTACATACTGATATACACCTGAACATCAGCAGGAGAGGACTCTTTAAAGTAGAGACACTACATACTGACATACACCTGAACTTCAGCAGGAGAGGACTCTTTAAAGTAGAGACACTACATACTGATATACACCTGAACATCAGCAGGAGAGGACTCTTTAAAGTAGAGACACTACATACTGACATACACCTGAACATCAGCAGGAGAGGACTCTTTAAAGTAGAGACACTACATACTGATGTACACCTGAACATCAGCAGGAGAGGACTCTTTAAAGTAGAGACACTACATACTGACATACACCTGAACATCAGCAGGAGAGGACTCTTTAAAGTAGAGACACTACATACTGACATACACCTGAACATCAGCAGGAGAGGACTCTTTAAAGTAGAGACACTACATACTGATATACACCTGAACATCAGCAGGAGAGGACTCTTTAACACCTGTGATTGAACCTGTTTAGATCCCATGAAGGACGAGTGTTTCGGAGATGGCTTCAGTCGTTTCCTGCTCGACGAGTTTTTGGGATACGACGACATCCTGATGTCCAGCGTGAAGGCGCTCGCT